TTTGTTCCTATTTTTCCATTTTCTCATATTAATTCCATTCCCTTCTTTCCTTTCCCCTACCCCTCCCACTTCCTTGCCCTTTGCCCCTTTTCTTCCTATTTCACATTACCTATTATACTTTTTAGTCCTTATTTACACTTGCAGTTTCTCACACCAGAGAAACTATTTGGTATTTATACATGTGTGTCCTATTTATTTCACTTAAGAGTGTCACTTCAATGTGCATCCATTTAGCTATAAATGTCTCTAATTTCTCATTTTTTATGGCTGAATAGTACTCCATTTTATTTTTTAAAAACCCACATTTTTTTTATCCAGTCTCCAGTTGATGGGCATTTGGGCTGTTTCCAAGTTTTAGCTATCACAAACTGTGCTCTTTTAATTTTTAGAGACAAGATCCTGCTAGGTCACTTTAAGTTGCTCGGTCTGGTCTCAGTCTTGCAGTCCTCCTGGCTCAGCCACCCAGAGTGCTGGGATTATAGGTATTTACCAGTACACCAGTTTTTGAGATTGTCCCTGGTAATATTCTTTGCTCTAAAGACCCACTTCTGATTTTTTGTTTTGTTTTTTTGAGACAGGGTCTTGTTATGTAGTTCAGACTGCCCTTGAACTCACTATGTATTTCAGGCTGACCTTGAACTTGTGTTGATCCTTCTGCCTCAGCCTCTCCAGTGCGGGATTATAGGCATGTACCATCATGCCCGGCTTCTGAAATTAATTTAATCACTCCTTTTGATTTAATTTAGCTTCATTTTGACTAGTATTGGTTTGAAAAACCTTTTTCATCCTTTTATGTTTACTCCATTTGTGTCTTTATATTTAAAATGTGCTTTATACTATTACTGGATTCTGGGCTCTGGGGTCTCCTTCCAGAGGTGGTTTCTAGGTTCTCCTTGTTTTGAACAAAGAATTGGACAAAATAAGTAAAAAAGGTAACAAGGTTTTATGTTTTATTTTTATTTATTTATTTATTTTGGTACTGGGGATTGAACTCGGGACCTTGTTCTTGTGAGGAAGGCGCCAGAGCTAAATCCCTGGCCCTAAGTTTCATTTTTTAAATTTGGTTGTCACATGTCTTTTTTTTAAGCAAAACAGTTATTGGTACATTTTAGAGATACATAATGATAACATTTATCATAGGGAATTTGTACCTGTACATGATGTATTTTGCTTCTTCTTTTTCTGTCATTTCTCCTCCCTTCAAGCTTTCTTCCTCTCCTTATTTACAAGGAGATTTATATTTTTTCCCTCTATTCTTTTTTTCTTGTCTCATCTTTCCTTTTCCCTCTCCCTGTTCCCTGGTTCTCCTCATTTAAACATTTTCCTCCCATTGCCCAATATTATACATTTTGGTCCTTCTTTCCATTTTCAGTTACTCACAGCAGAGAAACAATGTGGTATTTAAACCTGTGTGTCCAATTTATTTCACTTAAGAGTATGGTCTCAAGGTGAATTCATTTAGCTAGAAATGTCTCAAGCTTATGCTTCTTTATGGTACAGTAGTACTCCATTGTGTAAAAAACCCCACATCTTCTTTATCCATTCATCAGTAAATGGGCATTTGGGCTGTTTCAAAGATTTAGCTATCACAAACTGTGCTGCTATAAACATGGGTGTGCATATATTTCTGTGGTATAATGCTTTAATTCTTTTGGGAAGATACCAAGAAGGGGAATAGCTGGGTAGAATGGAGCCTCTAGCTTTAGTTTTTTGAGGAATCTCCACACTGATTTCCACAACAGGTGCACCAGTCTACACTCCCACCAACAGTGGAGAAGGGCTCCTTTTTTCCACAGCCCCACCAGCATTTGGCTGATTTCTCGGTAATAGCCATTCTGTCTGGATTGA